CCTCAAAGAAGCCAATAGAATCTTCCAAGCAGAGCCTTCAGGCTTAGACAGCCATGAAGGTCACACAGCAAGTGAATGCCAGGTCACAGTTACAAGCCCTGTCTCACAGTCCTAGTTTCTAGCCACTGATGCCTCCCTGCATTGCCCATGTACCTGATATAATGGTGGCCTATCCATACTCCATGTGGAATCCTGTATGTATTGAGGGATTTATATGCATCAACTCTCTAAGCTCCACTCTTATGAAACCCAAGGAAAATACCCTCTGTTTCTTAAAGGACTGCAGAAGTACTGAGTGTCAGCGAAATTCTCATCTCCAGTGAGAGAAGCTAGCGATGCATAAATGTTTATTAGACCAGATGGTCAGACCTGAGGTCCATCTACTCCAGTATCCCATCTCCAACAGTGGCCAGCACCAGAAGCTTCAGAGAAAGGTACAAGCAGCTCACAGGAAAATGTGGGCTAATCTACGCCACATTTAGGTCCCTGTAGCTCTTGCAAATGTATACGATAGAGTCCACTGATAGAGAAAGGTGAGGTTATTAAAATAGCATGGCCTAGTGGTTAGGGTGGAAGAGTAGGACTCAGGAAACAATGGTTCAATTCCTGGTTCTAACTCCAGTTTGCTGAGTGACTTTGGGTAAGTCCCTTCCCTATGCCTTAGTTTCCCCTTCTGCAAAGTGAGACATTGATAGTGACCTCTTGGACAAAGTGCTTTGAGAGCTACAGATGATATAGGGGCTAGGTATTATTATTACAAAATCTCTGCAGCAGGAATTCCTTTTGCATATTCTGCAACTGTTCTGTCACTCTTTGTGACAGTTCCAGATTTGAAACGTGGCCAGAATATGCAACAGAGATTCAGACTAAAGATAAGAGAGACAGTGCAGACCAGAGACCAGAATTGTGCCCTATAAATAGAAATTCTGCCTTCAAAGAAAGGAATCACATCTTCCCAGAGCCCGTTTCACAAGGTTCTCCTGGTATTTTAATGGTAGATTAAATTCTAAACAGGGTTATGTTAGTGCAAACTCCAGACAAGTTTCCAATTAACAGAACACCAGAGATTGGGATTCTGTTCTTGGGCCTATCACTGATGGGATGTATGATCTCAGGGAAGTCACTGCCTGGCTCAGTGTCTTAGTTTCTCCATTTGTAAAATGGGGATGACACTTACCCTCCTGTACAAAGTACTCTGAGACCTATAGATGAAAAGAGAAGTGTTGAGGATTATAATAATTATCAGACAATTATTATTCTGATAATAATAATTATTATTATTATTATTATGACAGGAGAGGAAGTATCGAAGAATTAAAAGCCTGTGAAAATTCCAAAATTTACACAGAAACAAAACTTCTGGCCATCAAAAAGTATGAAGCATCAAAGTATGACAGAGTAAAGACCCTGGATGTAATGAATCTGAATCACTCAGCAATGGGCTGACTGTGTGTTGCTCTAAGATCACTACATGTCCTAGCAAGGCCTGAAGTTTTCTGCCAATAACAACAGCCACAACCACACGCAACAGACCATTGGAGTTTCCTTAGTGCTGAAGGAAACTGAGCAGCAAACAGTTCATAGACGCGACTTCAAAGGCATCCTTGCATCAGCAAACCCACCCTTTACACTTCCGTCTAGATGTATTGCAGGTTTAGGGAGTTTCACACACTCTACTTGAGAAGCAATTACCAAAGCATTTGAGTCATGAGACGTCTCATTGACCGTTATTCCCTTTGTCCAACAGGGAAGATTGCCAAGGGCAGAAATATTTTTGCAAGCGCCGACTATGGCACACACTGGCACCACTGAAACATTCTCACTCGAGTGCATAATCAGGGCTTCCAGTATGCTCCCGTTGCTAGGGTCTGGGGAATTTTTATCTGGGACCCTTGATGTGATCTTTTTCAGACCAAAAATCCTGACTCATGAAACCATGACGTGGAAGAGCTTGCTGTGTAAGCGCTGATCGAATTAGTAACATGACACCAGCTTGCTCTCAGGAAGCATGAGGAAAGTAAGCTTGTGTTTTGAGACATTTGTGAGACCTGAGTATTTTTTTCACTGTTCTTAAGTGAAAGGGGAAGAACAAAACCCCAAACCCTCAGCAATTCCTCAGTAACAAATATCACCCCATTACAGACAATGTCTCCCTGTTTAAAGCAAAATGAAGTGAAAGGAGAACTGGAAAATATATGTTTTCCCTTTTGCATTGCAATCAGTGGCAAATGTGCTCATCCTCCTCTCTGATGAACAGCTGACAATTTAACAGAGAAATGATGACTTCCCATCGCTGGGAGCCAAACATATTGGCTCCTAAGATCAGCCTAGGAAAGAGAACGTGGGCCAGCTAGCCATGTGATTCCTGTTAAAGCAGCAGGTACCTAAACTTTGGGACTGCAACTTGCCATTGGGCCAAAAATTGCCTGTGAGTTGACATTGTTCTTTAAAACCAAAAATAGATGCACAGAAGTAGAATGCTTGTTCATGCTTGTACCTTCCTTCCCAGAGATATTGCCTGCTGATTGAGGGTCAGATGTTCAAGAATGCCTGAACCCTGAGTTCATCAGCAGCAAGCACTGGTGGATGACCTCCCTTAGGCTCACCCAGCAGTTGCAGAATGGCTGGAGGACTGATCATGTTTGGTCCTCAGAACCCATTTTGGACACTTCTGCCCCAGAGTCACTGGCTAAGACCTTCATGGAGTACTTTGAAAGTGGAGAAGTGCATGCTCTGGGATGACAGGCCAACTTCTGTTCTCAGTTACCCCAGTGCAATCCCATTGCACCTCCAGTAAAGAAACCTGGGTAACAGGAAGAGAACACAACATGGAATATTTATGAAGGGAACACCGATGTCGTGCTTACAGGCCACTACACTTTGACTATACGTAATTCTTTCGGGATCTTTTCTGGGGCAGATCTTGGGCTTGATTCTCTCCAGTTTTACACTGGAATAACACCACTGACCTCCATGGAGATACCCCAGATTTACACTAGGGTAAATAGAAGCAGAATTTGGATTGTTCCTGGGTCATAATGCAGTCTCTATGTACTGCTCTGTGGGCCTAGAGTGTCTCCAGTTTCAGTTGATCTAGCCTCCCTTGCATAGGGGAATCTTCAGGTAGCATACAGATATTCTATGCCACCTATTCCACCCACCTCCCAGCTGTGTGCAGGGAGCATGGTCAGGGCTCTCCTATGCCCTGGGTATCCCTTAGTGCAACAGCCCCATGGGGATGACCATTAGCCATTGGCACAGGTTAGATCAGCCTTAATTTTTTATTAAGTTGCAGTCAGTTACACTTTTTCAGTCCCGTTATCTTCACTGGGTTTGTAAAAATTTCACTGAGAGAAGGATGTGATCTGCAGAACTTTTACTCTCTTTTACCATTGAGATGCTAAAGGAGCACTCAAAGATGATAAGGCCATTGCGGAGAAACTAAATGAATTCTTTGCATCAGTTTTCAAGGTTGAGGATGTGAGGGAGATTCCCAAACCTGAGCTATTCTTTTCAGGTGACAAATCTGAGGAACTGTCCCAGATTGAGGCGTCATTAGAGGAGGTTTTGGAACAAAATCGATAAACTAAACAGTAATAAGTCACCAGGACCAGATGGCATTCACCCAAGAGTTTTGAAGGAACTCAAATATGAAATTGCAGGACTACTAACTTTAGTTTGTAACCTATCATTTAAATCAGCTTCTATACCAAATGACTGGAGGATAGCTAATGTGACACCAAGTTTTAAAAAGGGCTCCAGAGGTGATCCTGGCAACTACAGGCTGGTAAGCCTGAATACAGTACCGGGCAAACTGGTTGAAACTATAGCAAAGAACAAAATTGTCAAACATGATTTGTTGGAGAAGAGTCAACATGGTTTTAGTAAAGGGAAATCATGCCTCACCAATCTACTAGAATTCTTTGAGGGGGTCAACAAACATGTGGACAAGGGGATCCAGTGGATGTAGTGACTTAGATTTTCAGAAAGTCTTTGACAAGGTCCCTCACCAAAGGCTCTTAAGCAAAGTAAGCTGTCATGGGATAAGAGGGAAGGTTCTCACATGGATTGGTAACTGGTTAAAAGATAGGAAACAAAGGGTAGGAATAAATGGTCAGTTTTCAGAATGGAGAGAGGTAAATAGTGATGTCCCCCAGGGATCTGTACTGGGCCCAGTCCTATTCAACATATTCATAAATGATCTGGAAAAAGGGGTAAACAGTGAGGTGACAAAATTTGCAGATGATACATAACTACTCAAGATAGTTAAGTCCCAGGCAGACTGAGAAGAACTATAAAAGGATCTCTCAAAACTAGGTGACTGGGCAACAAAATGGCAGATGACATTCAATGTTGATAAATGCAAAGTAATGCACATTGGAAAATATAATCCCAATATACATATAAAATGATGGCATCTAAAAAGACAGTTACCTTTTCCGTAACTGGTGTTCTTCGAGATGTGTTGCTCATGTCCATTCCACAATAGGTGTGCGTGCTTGCTACATGCACCAATTCCGGAAGTTTTTCCCCTAGCAGTACCTGTAGGGGAGTGCCTGTAACGACCCCTGGAGTGGGGCCTTTATGGCGCGGTATAAGGGGCGCTATGTGCTCCCCCCACCCTCAGTTCCTTCTTGACAAACAGCTTCGACAAAGGGGAAGGAGGCCGGGATGTGGAATGGACATGAGCAACGCATCTCAAAGAACACCAGTTACGGAAAAGGTAACTGGCTTTTCTTCTTCAAGTGATTGCTCATGTGCATTCCACAGTAGGTGATTCCAAGCTATAGCTGTTGGAGGTGGGTAGGAGTTCATAGACACTCAGGATGGAGTACAGCCCTGCTGAACCCAGCGTCCTCCCTGGTTTGGGAGACGATCGCATAATGCGAGGTGAACGTGTGAACCAAAGACCATGTGGTAGCCCTACAAATGTCCTGAATGGGGACATGGGCCAAACAGGCAGCCGACGAGGCTTGCCCCCTAGTCGAGCGTGCCCTCACAATCGGCAGCGGGGGGACTCCCACCAGGTCGTAACAGGTACGAATACACAAGGTGATCCAGTTGGAGAGCCACTGAGTGGAGATTGGCCGACTTCTCATGTGTTCGGCTGAGGCAATGAACAGCTGCGAGGACTTCCTGAATGGCTTTGCATGTTCCAGGTAAAAGGCCAGAGCCCGTCTCACATCCAGCATGTGGAGGCGGTGCTCCTCACTGGATGCATGGGGCTTGGGACAGAGCACCGTCAGGAAGATATCCTGACCCATGTGGTAGGTGGAGACCACCTTGGGGAGGAACGAAGGATGTGGGCGGAGTTGGACCTTATCCTTATGGAACACCGTGTACGGGGGTTCAGAGGTCAGGGCCCTGAACTCCAAGACACGTCTAGCTGATGTGATCATCACCAGGAAGGCCACCTTCCATGAGAGGTGCAACCAGGAGCATGTAGCTAGTGGTTCAAACGGGGGACCTGTCAATCCAGCCAGCACCAAGTTCAGGTCCCACTGCGGGACTGGGGGCACAACATACGGGAAGAGACGATCCAACCCCTTAAGGAATCGGCCAGTCATAGCATGGGAGAATACTGTGTGGCCCTACACTGGTGGGTAGAAGGCCGATATGGCTGCAAAGTGCACCTTGATGGACGAGGGTGCTAGGCTTTGGGCCCTAAGGTGAAGGAGGTAGTCTAAAATGAGCTGGATCAGAGCAGCCACAGGCGAAACACCCCGATCAGCTGCCCACCGGGAAAACCGAGAACCACTTTGCCAGGTAGGCCCAATGTGTGGAGGGCCATCTGCTTTCCAGGAGGATGCGCTGAACCCTTTCTGAGCATGTCCTCTCCTCCCAGCCTAACCAATGAGAAGCCACGCCATGAGGTGGAGTGCCGCTAGGTTGGGGTGGAGGAGGCGGCCTTGGTCCTGGGATAGCAGGTCCGGATGGGATGGCAATGGCCACAGCGGGGTGACTGCCAGGCTCGTGAGAGTCCCGTACCAATGTTGCCTGGGCCATGCCGGGGCAATCAGGAGGACCCGGGCCCTGTCCATCTTTATCTTCTCCAAGACCTTGCCGATCAGCGGGATCGGGAGGAAGGCATAGAGAAGTTGGCTCAATCAGGACAGGAAGAAGGCGTCGGAGATGACGCCCGCGCACAACCCCCCGCCCACCCCCTGAGCAGATGTGGGGACACTGGTGGTTCTGCCTTGTCGTGAACAGGTACATCTGGGGAGTGCCCCACTTTTGGAAAATCCTGTGCACCACCTCTGGGTGTAGTGACCACTCGTGCTGAGAGGAGAAGTCTTGGCTCAGGTGATCTGCCCATGAGTTCCAGGCTCCCGGTAAGTGGTGGGCTTCTAGGCAAATATCATGGGCTATACAGAAGTCCCACAGCCTGAGGGCTTCCTGGCAGAGGAGCAGGCCCCACCTCGCCAGTTGATGTAGAACATCAAGGCTACGTTGTCTGTGAGAACCCTGACCACTCTGCCCTCCAGGTGTGAGCGGAAGGCCACGCATGCCAGATGGACCGCCCTGAGCTCCTTGACATTTATATGTAGGGCAAGGTCCCACGTGGACCACAGACCTTGGGTCTGAACGTTCCCCACATGGGCTCCCCACCCCAGGTCTGACGCGTTGGATACCAGCTCCACTAGTGGGGGCCCAGAGTGGCGCACATGGACAGGAGGAGCACCACGTGATCCTGCACCCAGGACCTGAAGCTGCCCTTGACCTGCCAGTCGTCGAGAGATGGGAAGGTCTGGACCCCGTGACGTCTGAGGTAGGCTGCTACCACAGACATGCACTTTGTGAATACGCTGGGAGCAGGGGACAGGCCAAACAGGAGGACCGTAAACTGGTAGTGCTCCTGCCCAACTGTGAAACGGAGGAAACGTCTGTGTCCCTTGAATATATGAATGTGTAAGTAAGCGTCCTGCAGATCGAGGGCAGCGTACCAGTCCCCGGGATCCAGGGAGGGGATGACGAAGGCCAGAGAGACCATGCGAAACTTGAGCTTTACCATGTACTGGTTCAGGCCTCGCAGGTCCAGGATGGGCCTGAGCCCCTCGTTGGCCTTTGGGATAAGGAAGTAGCGGGAGTAGAAGCCCTTGTGTCTGAACTCCTCTGGTACCACCTCCACCACTCCTCGGCCAAGGAGCTGCCCCACCTCCTGCTTGAGCAGGGCCTCGTGAGAGGGGTCCCCGAGGAGATGGAGGGTGGGTGGGCAGGGTAGAAGTAAACTGGAGGGTGAAGCCCCGGGAGATGGTGTTGAGGACCTATTGGTCCAAGGTCAGCCACAACCACTCCAGGAGAAAAGCACACAACCAGTAGGAGAAGGGAAGCTTTATTGCGGGTGGATCCATGGTATGAACTGGTAAGTTGCCTGCAGGCATCCCGTCAAAACTGATGCTTTAGAATCATAGAATATCAGGGTTGGAAGGGACTTCAGGAGGTCATCTAGTCTAACCCCCTGCTCAAAGCAGGACCAATCCCCAACTAAATCATCCCAGCCAGGGCTTTGTCGAGCCTGACCTTAAAAACCTCTAAGGAAGGAGATTCCACCACCTTCCTAGGTAACCCATTCCAGTGCTTCACCACCCTCCTAGTGAAATAGTGTTTCCAAATATCCAACCTAAACCTCCCCCATTGCAACTTGAGACCACTACTTCTTGTTCTGTCATCTGCTACCACTGAGAACAGTCTAGATCCATCCTCTTTGGAACCCCCTTTCAGGTAGTTGAAAGCAGCTATCAAATCCCCCCTCATTCTTCTCTTCTGCAGACTAAACAATCCCAGGTCCCTCAGCCTCTCCTCATAAGTCATGTGCTCCAGCTCCCTAATCATTTTTGTTGCCCTCCGCTGGACTCTTTCCAATTTTTCCACATCCTTCTTGTAGTGTGGGGCCCAAAACTGGACACAGTACTCCAGATGAGGCCTCACCAATGTTGAATAGAGGGGAATGATCATGTCCCTCGAGTTGCTGGCAATGCTCCTATTTATACAGCCAAAATGCCGTTAGCCTTCTTGGCAACAAGGGCACACTGTTGACTCATATCCAGCTTCTTGTCCACTGTAACCCCTAGGTCCTTTTCTGCAGAACTGCTGCCTAGCCACTCGGTCCCTAGTCTGTAGCAGTGCATGAGATTCTTCTGTCCTAAGTGCAGGACTCTGCACTTGTCCTTGTTGAACCTCATCAGATTTCTTTTGGCCCAATACTCCAATTTGTCTAGGTCCCTCTGTATCCTATCCCTACCCTCCAGCATATCTACCACTCCTCCCAGTTTAGTGTCATCTGCAAACTTGTTGAGGGTGCAATCCACGCCATCCTCCAGATCATTAATGAAGATACTGAACAAAACCGGCCCCAGGACCGACCCTTGGGGCACTCCACTTGATACCAGCTGCCAACTAGACATGGAGCCATTGATAACTACCCGTTGAGCCCAATGATCTAGCCAGCTTTCTATCCACCTTATAGTCCATTCATCCAACCCATACTTCTTTAACTTGCTGGCAAGAATACTGTGGGAGACCGTATCAAAAGCTTTGCTAAAGTCAAGGCCTGTTTACCCTTGGAGGGCCGAGGTTGGGGTGCAGACTGGGATTGCCCCTCCAGGTGTTTCTTATAGTCCCTTGACTTTTTATAAGGGGGCTCATATTTAGAGTGGGCGGCCTGGGTGGGAGCCTGCTGTGTCTTAAACTTGGTCCTGGCCAGGGCCGGGAAATAGAGGCCAACGGTCTTAAGCATTGTGCGGGAATCTTTCAGGCCGTGCAATTTCACGTCCGTCTGTTCTGCAAACAGGGCCTTGCCAGCGGACGGAATGTCCTGTAAGTAGTTCTGCGCCTCACTGGACAGCCCAGACGGCAGGAGCCATGATGCCCTTCTCATGGACACCACAGAGGCCATGGATCTTTCAGCCATATCTGCAGCATCCGAAGCTGCCTGAAGGGCTGCCCTGGCAGCCACTGTAGCCTCCTCCACCAGAGCCTTGGACTCTTTTTTGTCACACTCTTGGAGAGAGTCCTCAAATTTGGGCAGAGTGCCCCACAAATTGAACTCATATCTCCCCAGAAGGGCTTGGTGGTTCGCCACCCTCAGCTGGAAACTCAAGGACAAATAAACCTTTCTCCCGAATAGATCCCGTCTCCTCGAGTCTTTATTCTTAGGAGAAGGGGCTGGTTGGCCCTGCCTCTCCCTGTGGTTGACCGACTCGACCACCAGGGAGTTGGGGGCAGGGTGGGTGTACAGGTATTCATGCCCCTTAGCAGGCACGAAGTACTTCCGTTCCGCCCTCTTATAGATGGGGGACACGGAAGCTGAGGTTTGCCACAAGGCGTTCGAAATCTTTGCCACCCCTTTATGGAGTGGGAGAGCCACCCTGCCCAGTGGACATTAAAGAGGGAGTCCGAGGGTTCCTCCACCTCCTCGGCTTGAAGGTTGAGGCTTGATGCCACTCTTTTCAACAGTTCCTGGTGGGCTTTAGAGTCCTGGGAGGTTGAGATAGGGAGGCCGACAGTCTCTCCGAATCTCCGGCCACCGAGCAAGCCACCACCGGGGGCTACGGGGCCCATTGGTACCATGGTGCCAGCCAAGGAGCTTGGTGCCACTGCTCCTGCTGTGGCACCGGCGGAGCAGCTGTTCAGCCTGACTAGCCTGCCCCATCAATTGATGACTGCGAAGGAAGGCTAGGCTGGCATATGACCTGCCACTATCCAGGGACTGGGACAAGCGGTGGTGTCGGGAACGGTGCCGACCACGAGACCGTGATCCCGGCATGGAGGAGCGGGAGTACCGCCGGTAACAGCTGCTCCGTGATTGGCTCCGTGGTGGGGATCTCGAGTGAGACGAAGAACAGGAACGGCGTCGATGCCTGAACCGCAAAGCATAGGTGGTGAGTTATATGGGCCCGTGCTCCACTAATATTCAGGAACGTGGGCCCAGCTCCACCAGTGTTTGGGCTTATATTTTTCAGAGCTGTCCCATCCATAGGAAGGACTGGGACAACCGCCCTGGGCCCCACACTTTGTGGGTCCCTGCGCTTCAGGGATCCAGGGTGGCCTGGGAGGTTAGCGGAGGGCTTGGCAACCTGCCCCACTCTGCTCCTCCCCACCCTGCCTCTTCCCGCCCCTGCTCCGCCCCCTCCACACCCCCATTCCACCCCTTCCTCCAAGCCCCTGCCCCCTCTCTTTCCAGCTTCTGCCTTCTCCCCCAAGTGATGGCAGGGTAGGACAGAGCAGAGCGTGGAGGGCTGGGGCCGGATTGCTTGCAATTTAATGTTGATAAATGCAAAGT